GAACTTGTATCCAAATTCACAACTATCGGTAGTGTACATAACAAAAAGCCCCCAGTCATCCGTCCATTCCGGAAGAAGAGCAAGTGCAAATAATTGGTGAGATGGTAGTAAATCCTGAACAGTTTACTTATTCCGTCGCGAATGTTTGTGAGGATACTCCTTCTACTGTGTGGCAACTTTTGAAGAGGAATAGGTATCATCCATATAAAATTAAAATAGTACACCAGTTAACTGAAGATGACCCTGATCGAAGAAATGGGGAATGTTTCTCAACTTGGGTTATTATAGCAAATGCAATTTTGAACAAAATAAAGTTGAGTTTAATTCATGAGTTTTTTAAATTCACTACGAAAAGTATTCAAATTGATGTTTCAAATGTTGGGTTTTAATTTTGAAAGGGATTTGTTTCTAATTCACATATTGGCAACAGTGCCTATATCAAGTTGAAATAATTTATACGTACCTAGGTATTCTACTTTAAAAAAGGAAAATTATCTTTATAAATCAACAATTGAGGTAAAATATAAATTATAGTTCAATACCACTTCCACAAGCCACATAAACAACAGTTGTTTTGTTTATTTATATAGAGGAAGATAGGTTAGGTGCACAAAATGTCATATGTCACAGAATGTCTCGGAACTCGGAACATAAGTAAACAGAACAGCACGCCTCTGAAACATGTCATCTCTGTTTGTCTCATACAGGTAACAGATTCATTGTCCTTTATTAGCTATAACCAATGTTGCCAAATGATGAAATAGAAACGAATCCCTTTAAATGTTAAATGCATTATTTAATTCCTCTTTTTTAAGTATTTAAATAATTTTTTAAAGAAAAAGGTTGAAATGATAAGTTTAAAATGCGTTGTTTTAGAGCTCTTTTATGAAAACTACTTGATTTTCGTCAGGAGGAACATTCCCCATTCTGCGAAATCATGAAGGAAACCATTGCAAGGCATCTACCTATCTCCATAGTATTTTTTTAGTGACGAATTTACATTTTTTCAAACGGCATTGCCACAGACAGAAACACATACCCAGTATCTAGAAAAAAATAACGTTTGGGCAAGACTATTGGCAAACCATATTGTAGGACCTTTATTTACTGATCGAAATTTAGCAGGGGAACTGTGTTTGAATATGTTGGAAACTACTGTTGAACCTTTCACTGAAATCGTCGAAGCGAATCCTCTTGAATTCGATATGGATATTGTATTCCAACAAGTAAAGAGCACCACCGTATTACTCCTGACATATAAGAAACTATTTGGATACTACTTTTCCCGGTCGTTGGATTGGCCGTCGAGGTCCTACAGAATGACCAGCCCGCTAGCCAGATTTGACACCTTTGGACTTTAAATTGAAAGGAATATATTTTTATGAGAGATTCATTTTTGGGAAATAATATATGTAGATTCTTGATTTTTGATAATCAGGTAAATACATGCTGTGAATCAAGAGAACACACTGTTGGTTGACGCTGGAAGTCACAGCATTCTGGAAATGACCTCTGACTTTATGCCTCCAACTGTCAATTACGAACTGCCTTATAAAGTACTGTTCCTGAGTAGAGAAGACTGGATCCTCCTGGAGAACGAAATATTAGGAGCAGGTAGTTGCCGGTTCACAGATGGATCAAAAACACTTTCCGGTTCTGGTGTAGGTGTTTTTAGTCGCAAACCCAGGACAATATCTGTCTGTCTAGGAACCTATGAGACTGTATTTCAAGCGGAAATTTACACTATTGAATTGTGTGCGGAGAGATTCGAAGAATCCAACCACATACACAAGTCAATAAAAACATTCTCGGACAGTCAAGCGTTGGAAGGTCTTGGCTCCTACTGAGCGATGTCTAAATTGCTAGCAAATTGTCAAAAACAAGTCTCCTCAATAGAAAGACTCAACAGATTGTCTCTAGTCTGGATTCCTGGCCATACTGGCTTGTAAGGCAATGAGGCTGCTGACTCCCTTGCAAAGGAGGGTGCTCCAGCAGCTTCATCAGATCAGAACCTGTCATTGGCATTGCTTTAGGCTTTGCCAAACAAACATTGAACACCTGGATAGCAATAATATTTATGGCAGCATCTTCCACGATTGGCTCACTCCAAGGCGTTTATTCACCCTCTGAAGCTTGATACCAAACAGTTGTTGGACTACAGTAGGGATGAACTATGATGTCTAAGAGGCCTTCTTACAGGTCACTGTCATTTGAATCATCATATGCAGAGACTCGGACTTTCGGAAGACAGTGTGTGTCGCCTCTGTTTGGAAATGATGAAACAGCAGAGCATATATCTGACCTGAAAGACCACTCCCATACAAACTAATCGGCTTCGTTAAGAAGCTGAGTTTATTTGGTCGAGTGTGAATAGGTGTGAGCCACAATAAACACTTGCGGGTTGCGGTGGAGGGTCGAATAGACCCACTCACTTTGGACCTAACCTAATTATTCATTTAATTTAAATTACTTTATCACCAATCTGTCACACTAGCCTTCCTCTTTTCAAAATAAATAAATAAATATATTATTACAGGTTTATAGTTACAGCCTGAAAAATCCAGGGATGTGAAAAAAATGTTTTATTCCCATATGTCCTAACACAAATTAAGATTCAAATGAAAGGAAATGGAGATGGTGTACTTCAGTCAAAAGGACCATAATTCCTTCCTCAAAAATTCAAACAAAAAACAAAGTCAGCCTATAAAGTTACAGTATTACAACAGTAATGATGAATCTTTCCTGATGGGATATGATGGAGGCCGGCTTTCTGCCGAATATTACAAGGGTATAATAATATAACTTTTTCACAAAAGGTGAATACAGATACAAATAAGTTACAACATAGAACGAGTGAATAAAGCGATAGCCCCCACTGGATATGGGAATGACAGAATCTCTTGCGGTTCTGTTATTCACTAACTGAATGGTATCCCAACGATGGCTTAATCCTAAGGTGGGTGTATCCGTGCTAAAAGG